CGCGACGGTTCGACCAGTCCTGCTATATAGTGCAGAAACTTGGCCATTAAGAAAATAGGATAAAGATAGACTGCCGGTGTTTGAACACCGGTGTCTACGCAGGATTGCACGAATGTGGTGGGGTAGCCGGATGAGCAATGCTGAGGTTAGGGACAGAGTGTTGGGTATCCGCGGTCGCCCACTGAAGCAAGTGGTCGACCTCCATAGATTACGTTGGTTGGGACATGTGTTACGCATGCCACCAGATAAGTTACCACGGCGAGCGATGTTCGCCGAAGGAGATACCGAGTGGAAAAATGCCAAGGATGGTCAAGCTAAGATCTGCCATGAGGGTATAAAAACCCTAACCACTAGACTGGGTCCCATAGGTCCTGTTAGGCTCCCTGACTGGGGACCTCGGGATGATCGTAACCGATGGTTAGAGACACTGAGTGATATAGCTGGGTGTCGCAAACAGTGGCGTTCATGTATCTTCTCAATTCCTTCCCAACCTTAGTCCACTGAACTTCTCCATTTTCTGTTCGACTCCACTTTCAACTTCCCTTTTTTCTCCTATTCTTCATCCAAATGGGCTGCCAAAAGACAGCAACCAAAATCGGCGCACGAATATGCGTGGTTAATGTTTGTACGAACTGAATTGAACTGATGCTATTTCACACTTGTCTGAGGACAGATTGTGTGCCAGGCAAATCATGGTACAAAAATCTTTATAAAAACATCGTTCCATGATTGGCTTGTGAGCTGAATACAGCCAGGTTGCCCAGGCCAAGGCTGGTTCAGCTCCGAGCCTCAATCTTACTAGGTACACGACAGAGAAAAATTTTCAGTTTCAGATTTTACAACCATTAACCGTGCACTTTCGTGCGCTCGTTTGGATGAAAGAGTAGAAGAAAGATGGATAAGCCGAAAGTAGAGTCGAGGAGAAAATGGAAAATTCCTGTAGACTAAGGTTGCACTGAAATTGAGAAGAAGCACGAATGCAACTGTTGACGATATTCAGCCATATCATCCAGTGTCTCTATCAGTTGAATAGAATGATTCCGAGGACCCGATCCAGGGAGGCTAACTCGACCTACTTGACCGAATCCTGTGGTCAGGGTTTTCGTACTCCCATACCAGGTCTTTGTTTGACCACTTTTGTTTTTTTTTCACTGACTACCTGCTTCAACAAACACCGCGCCGTGGGAATCTATTTGGGGTCATGCGTAACATGCCCCAACCAATGTAATCTTGGGAGGTCGACTAATTGCTCCTGTGGCGACAGTGGTTACCTAAAACTCTGTGCCCAAATTCAGTGTTGCTCGTCCGGTGGTCCCACCAATTTCGTGCAGTGCGGCGTAGATAGCGGTGTTCGAACACCGACAGTCTATATTTATCCCGTTTTTCTAATAGCTAAGTCACTGCCCCGGATCATCATTGTACAGCGAAATACAGTGAAGCGAACTCCACTGATTGCTGCCAAACTGGCAATGCATATGCATTGGGGTTTGATAGACGGGTACTGCTAGGGCGTCCAGCCACTAAGCAGAAGAACGAATAAGTTTCTCGTCCGGATAACAAATGATCGAGCTGCAGCAGCATACACTCGAATCTTCCTGGACAACCGGATGTCGCAACGGCCCCACTTGGCGGACGAATTTTAGACGAACCACGCTGTCGTGACAGTGCTTATCCCCCTGGTTTGACATTACTGGTTAAAACCAGTAGTAAGCTGAACTTAATAGTGAGTAGTATGGCAACTAATTCTGTAAATCTAGTTTTCTGGTATCCCCCATCTCGACGAGTCTGTCAAAAGTTTAAAACCAGATGGAATAGGAATTGTTTGGATTTGCATCAAATCTTTCAAGTCGGGGATAATGTTTCTTTCTGGGGCAATTTGAGTGTTGAATAAATGGAAATGAACAACGAATTCAAAAGTCTTTCGTTAAAAAAGACAAGCACAGAATCTAGGTTTTAGTCTAGAATCTATTAATACAATAGCTGAAAAGACTTAAGTGAAAGTCTAGAGGAATGATTATAATTAGAGACCCACAAACAGGATTTTCATTTGAACGAACTAACATGAATTGCTATTCTTTTTATTTCAGCTTCCTTTTGAATGTGTCGTGTACGTTGCGCAACACATTCTCCTTCTTCTTGTTCCCATCGTTCTTCTCGATATGAAAAGTGAGTGCCCATTTATACCGTTTGATCACTGCTACGTGCGAAGATTAATTTTCGAGATGGCCCTCATACCTCATATAAGTGAGGTGCCTACAGCCTAAGGTGAAATATAATGGCGTGGTTCGGGTAGTTGTATACAAGTGTGGAATTATCGAGTAGTCTGTTCTTGGCTTTATTCTATTCGCAGAACGATGAAATAGTTCAGTCGTAAATTATGGACGAGGTTATTCTTCAATACCGTACTAGAGATTCCCTATCGACCGGATTCTTTGTTTACTTCAGTCTTCTTTGGTATTACCGTGACTTGCGTCTGTCCACCAGAAGTCGGACAAACGCCTTTGTGATTTCATCACTCCTACTTTATTTTAGTTTACGAGTGGACACCGTCTTGGAGCATCATTGCTTTGATGGCCTTGCTTGGGTCACTACGTGTCAGTAACTCCCTTATTCAAAGCGTGAGATACCTAGTGTAGCATTGACTTGATTGATCAATCTTCATAAACAACCTTTGAGACCTTTCGCGGCCTGCCCATGGTTTGGATGAAGGAACAAGTTCTTCAACCATAAAACTCACTAAACTAGATCAAACTAGCCTGCTGCGATGTTATCTTAGACATCTGTTCCGTAAGTGATCAAAAGCAATGGTTGACTTAATTCGCGACCGTTTGTATATTTGTATATTTGCTCAAAAGTTCCAGTCTATTACCCCTTCTGATGGGGTCCGCAAAGCCACAACGCCTTTGTGCTAAGTCACCGAATATATAAACTAATTTAAGTTTCAGTTTTCACAGCTTATACTGCTATGCGATGGTTTTTCTTGTTCTCTTTTATTACCCGTTCCGTCGACCAACTAGTTAGGAGTGAATCAAAAAGCTTAAATTCACCTAAACTTGCCTTGACTGTATCCCCGATCATTATGATCACTAGGGGGCGTTTTCGTCATGGTAATAATCAGGAACTTGAGTCCTACGATCAATAATAGCAAACCGCGCGGTGATCAAAACAGATTCAAGCGATGTGAAAGCTGTCCATTCTTTGTTATCTCGCCATGACCTCTTATGCTCTGCAGATAGCTGTCCTTCCCCGTTCAAAGAATGGATTTGGTAATCTGTAGGTTATCAAATTGCAACGAAGTGGTTGGCGGTAAAGGCTTCTTCCATCTTCGTGAGAAGCAAGACCAATTTAACGTAGGCATTACTTCACACGTTTTACTTCCTGATTTACTGTTTACATAGCTGCTTACAGCGCTATACTTTTTCGTTTTCATTCCGACTGTACAAGACTCACCGTTCAAGTTTCGAGATCAATGTCCTGCTATTGCCTCGTAACCTTGGTAATGGACAGCTTCGCGCATTTTAATCCGATCTTGTGCCACACCACTTCAAGCTCTAAGGCTTCAGTCACTGGGTCTCTGTGTTCTCGTGTCTAAGCGTTTAATGATTCTTAGTGCAATATATCACTGCTTAGTACAACCCATACCCGATGTTTTACGTGCCAGAGTTTATTTTAATACGATGCATCGAAAAATTGCATTTGAACCTAAGTTGCCTCGATGTTACACGGAAAACATCGTCTTCACTCACAGAATGGCGAATATTCAGAATACCTGTGACTCGGGTGCAGCTTAGCTGCATGATTTCTTAATCTTTGCTGGTAGGCAGCTCTGCTGTCGTCCGGTTCAATACCACGCCTAACTTATCGGGGCATTATGTGGTTCGCCACTCCAAGTCCTGGGGCTTAGAGTGCCGGTTTCCACCACTGAACAGCAGATCCTCGTAACAATGGGGTTCGCCCCACCTGCTGTTAACCACACTCATGTGTGTAATAAAAAAATATTAGATTGGCACTTGCTTTGGTTTTGTGGAGTGTATAGAACAGCAACGTAAGGGCGGACGCCTTGCCGTAAGATAGTGAACAAGACCTGTGTCTACTCTGCACTGTACACATCTGGGACATTTAGGCAATTACTATAGAAGATTGGCGAAGAGTTTTAGTTGACCACAGTCTCGCACGAAGACTTTCATTTTTCTTTCTTTTTGAACATAGTAAAGTTTTCAGGAAGCGGGAATTAAACAATCAAAGGGTTCTCGTACAACAGAATGAGGAAAATCAGGCAATGGTGTTGGGATTCGAAGAAGCGTCACCACCCAGCCACCACCGCCTGGTTGTTGTGGTTTGCGTTAAGGCACTCAACGGGCAGGCGTCCTGGGCTTGGGGACGAGAGACGAGTGGAATGGTAATAGAGTGATCTGATTATGAACTGGCATTGGTTTGATGAAACTTGTTAAGTTAGGTAGTTGCGCCACACGCCCCAGTGAGGGCCCTCCCAATGAGTCTGCATAATATTTGGAAACGGACATCGGAAATTTTGTAAACCATGAGGCACTTGCATTTACTCAATTTGTCCCCTTGTATTTTATCCGTATTCTGCAAGTTGATCGTGTTGCTGCTCTCAGCGTTGCTTTTACTCCTTTTCTTCCCTGTAATGGTAATTATATTCACTAGTAGTGATAAACTTACTTCTTATCTTGGTCGTTTTTCCAGTTTCATTAGGTGAATATTTCATGATGTGACATTTCATTTCTTTCATTTGGATGTGCGCCCTATTCCACCCAATTCAACTATAACTGTATTGCTTGCGCAACCGCCTACCGATCACCTGTGCTACCTTATCTTGCCCGGAACGCATCAGGTTTTAACTTGGTTCACTCATATCGTAAAAGTTTTTGTTTTTTCCTTGCTTTCTACAATTCTCGTGTAATCTCACCTGCTTAACCGGTTCCTCTTTGGCTTTGTAGCTGCTGAGTGTTCACCTTTCGGGATGCATGAAGCATATACTTGATTTGGCTTATGTATTATATTTAACAGTTGTATGCAGCCGAACTGAATGCCCAATAAATTACGGCGTTACAATGTTCATTGCAAGAGGTCAGTGCATAATCTGGTCATGTGCAGAACACTATCACGTTACCCAGACTAAAATAGGGTTATTTTGTTGGGGAATTCAAACCCGCAGTCTTCGACTTACCAAAACCTGATCTACAAGTCAGCTTGATGTGCATAAGCGGCAGTCCAATAGGAGCCGATGTCCAGTTCTTCGGATCGTCCATCCTCTAGATGGGGGCAAACTTCCAAGTTGCCCAGTACCCCTCGATATCCAATCTTGCGGATCCAACCGCAACAACCAGGAAGGTGAGGTTATGATTCATAAGCCTCTTCTTGTTTGATTTGGAATCGAGATTTCGCTTGTGTTGCATGGCAACCCTTTGATTGATCGCTTCCCTCTTCCATAAAGTTGGATCATTATGTATTCAATAAAAGGAAGAAAAACAGAAATGAACTACTGGGGTTTATTAACCTGATCATAGCCGCGAATGTTGACTTACTTTGATGGGGAAATATCGCTGCTCGAAGGTCCTATGAACGCATAAGGCTTTGGTTGAGAACCCTAATCCTTCTACTTAGTGGCTGGATACCCTAGCAGTACCCGCCCATCAAACACCAATGCAAATGCACTGCGAGTTTGGCCGTAATCAGTGGAGTTCGCTTCCCTGTATTTCGCTGTACGATGATCATGATGATGATGATAAGGGCACTTTACGAGGCTCACGAGAAGCCAACAAATCAAAAACCAAGACATCCACCTTCGTCCAACAACCAGTCAAATAACCGAAAATAATGCGAATGTGTAATGTGATGTGTAGCACACATACACATAGTGATCGATTCCTCAGATTTCGATGTTATCCTCTCAACGACTAGGTTTTATCCTCTGATGTAAAGTGTAACGGCATGGTTATGAAATATTGAACAAAGTTGTTGGCCTGACATTGCATTCCACTATTGACAGACTATCTGATTTACTCGTCAACAGTGGGCAGCTAATCAAAGCGTGGTTTATGCTGGAATGTGGTTTGGAGGATTACTGTCTGTATCTGTTTCATAAAACGAACTTGTTCTTCTGCCCCAGTAAACATGTTCTACCTGCTTGCCTCCTTGTTACAATATGAAAGTGACTTGTACCCACACTGACGTTTCTAGTGCACTCAATGTCCGTTCCGTTCGTACTACATTAGTTTGATGAAATTCCATTTTCCGTTTTCTAGGCGTTTTCTCCGTGGAACCATTAGACGATCTGTCTTGGTCCGTGTTCTCCCTCAGTCTTCAGGTGCTATATCATTTCTTAGTCTTGCAGCCAATCTCAATGGTGAGTCGGTCATCGCTTTCAAACTTTCTGCACTGTGCATACACACTAAGCGTACACTGCATGCACAAACTAAAGATAATTCCATACTGCATCCGCCGTCGTGCACGATAATCAGGACCACGCTGCATCAAGCGGGGTGTCCAGTGATAATTGAGCTACTGCCCAAGTATCCCAACCTTTGTTTAGTTCTTTGTCTACTGTACCCGGCCCTCTCCCCTTTCTCCTTCCGATCTGTAATAGTCCCTCTAACAACTTGGATGTCGCTTGCCAAATGCCAAATAGCACTGTAAGTAATTTACCAGGAAGTAGGTTACAGTTTCTAAAACCTCGTCAATCACTGAATTTGAGGGCCTTCAACGTGAGGACTGATGCAGATAGGTCAACAAGTTTGTCTTGTGCGTACAATAAAAACCTTAGGGATTGATGTCTGTTGCATATTGGAGATTCAAATCCAGGATCCTAGGACTATGTGCCATTTCAGTGTTCCAGACTTGTCCGCGAGGTACTTTCTTCGCACATCAGGCGACGACGAAGCCCGTTCAGTAGATCAGTAGGTAGAATAGGGTAGGTATTGCACTCAGTAACAGGACCGAGTCCTCTCTAGTCGACTAGATCCTCGTCAACAGTCGGTTATGTGCAGTGCTTCTCCATGGTTCAATCAGCGTCCGGAAAGGAAGCAACATCAAAAGGTGTTCGTTCATAGTATCGGTATACGCACCGACCAATTGTAGTTCTGATACCCAAAAGGACGCCTTATACGACGAACTCATCCATCTCATGGGGCTGAGTCGAAGCTCCGACGTGGTTGTACTTGCAGGTGACTTCAACGCGCAAGTTGGAAAACTGAGCGCATCAGAAGCTTGCTTAAGAGGTAGTTGTACTCTGCCGTGCCATCGAACAGATAACGGCGATTGACTTTTACAGTTCTGCGCAGACCATCGTCTGTTCCTATCCAGTACCAACTTCCGTCACAGCTCTCGGCAAACGGCAACGTGGCGCTGCACTTCAAATGGTACACTTACTCAACTGGATCACATAGCAGTAATCTACCGTTGGCTAGGCTCAGTATCAAATTGCAGGTACTATCGTACCATCTGCGTTTACTCATGATCATGAGCAGGTATGGTATGTGCTTTGTATCTTCCAAGTGCGAAGTGCTGGTTCAAGACTGGCAGGAGCCTGTGTCTGCCATCACCCTCTTTGGTAATCAGCTAGAAGTAGTTGGGAACTTTAAATACCTCGGGAGCTTGATCGCAGGTGGTGTTGGTGTTGTGGACGAGATCACATCACGAGTAGCGAAAGCTAGAGCAGCTCTCACCAACCTGCGACACCTGTGGCGCTGACATAACAACTAAATTTCACTTAAGGGAAGGGTGTACATCGCCGCAGTTCGTAGTGTTCTTCTTTACGGTTGCGAGACCTGGCCTCTCCGAGCGGAGGATGCTAATCGATTTTCTATATTTGACCACCGATGTCTGCGACGCACTGCTCGTGTCTGGTGGG